ACCCTCTCCTGCCCCAAAAGCCCTGTGCCTGGCCCTGAGGAGACCCACCTCTACTTGCACTCTGCACATTGTTTTCTCTGTTGCTTTAAAATATATTTTTAATTGAGGTTTACTCTTATATATAATACACTGTTCATTTTTAATGTAAAAGCAGATTGCCAACTTTAAAAATAACCTCAAGGCATACTAACTTGCAGCCTTCATAGAATTATATTTACATTTCAGCACAGCATTCTTTGGTTGCTGTCCATATGCACACGTGCTTTTAAAAATAAGTGCAATTATAAGGAACAACAATTTTGCAACTCCTCCTTTTTAGGTCCACATCACAAACTGAACCCTGGACTGAGGGAGATCCTGGGCCTGAGCCGCAGCTGTGTTTGTGACTCTTACTATTGCAGAAAACAGAAAGGCAAAACGCAGTGACTTCTACAAATGTTTGTACCTCCCCACAAGAGGCAAAGACAAAAAACAAAGGGGAAGAAACCCCATAAGCCCAAGGAGAAAACTCACAACTCGCACAACTTGTACCCACTTTAGTTAAACACATAGGGCTAGATTCTGTGAAGTAATGAAATCTGAACAAGCCAAATTTTAGCGGCATTAGCAACCAGATATGCATTCTCTCTCTCTCTCTCTCTCTCTCTCTCTCTCTCTCTCCCCCCCCCTTCTCCCCCTCCCCCCCCCCTACACAAACACACACATCCTAGTAGGGGGTTGGAGATCCCTACTAAGATCCTCTCATGGTCCCTGACTATAAGACCTGCAACTTCTGAATGCTGGGAAGGACCTCCTGCCTGAGAGCTCAGAATAGCTCTATGATTCCTGTCCTGGGTTATAACTGCCTGTTCACAGGCCCATCCTGCCCTCCCCCCAAAGTCCAGGCCTGCACACAGTCATGGGTGGCTTTGTGTGGCCCCAGGTCCAGTCCCCTGTCTCAAACCTTGTGAATTAGCTATGGGCTCCCTTAATGCTTTTGTTGGACAGTGCACACACCCAGCAACTTGTGCGATAGCACCCTTCTCCTAGGGACGTTCTGTAGTCTATAAGAGAAGCCCTGCTGGGGGATTCTGGGGACAGAGGTTCCTCACACTGGCCTGACAATCAGGGGTCAGTAGTCCATGGCCAGTACAGTTTGGACAACAGCTCCCTTCTGTGCCCCCTGCTCTGTAAAACAATGACACCAGGGGCCTCCCTGGTGGCACAGGGGTTAAAGACAGCATTATCAAGCTACTGCCGGTCACTACAACACAGGTTCAATCCCTGGCCGGCCAGGTTGCTATCCACATGGCACAGCAGACCTCTCCTGTCTTGCCTGCTGCTCCCCTCAGTAGTGTATTTCAGTCAGTCTGCCTGTTCTGTTCCCCACTCTGTCTCTGGTGATTCCTCTCACCGCCACACCTCTGGCCTATTCCCCAGTTCTTGTATGCATAAATAAAACAAATCTTAAAAAAAAACAATGACACCAGCAGCATCTGGTGGGCACCGTGATAACTTCAAAACAAGCCCCTGTCCTTGGTCTAGCGCCTGGCAGAGAGCAGATCCACAAATGACATTAATCTCCTGGCTCTTAGGTCCCCAAGCTGTCCATTGGGGTCACCCCCTAAACCTGCATGTCCCCAGGGGTTGCCACGAGGCAGGCATTAACAAAAGTGTTGCCTAAGTTCCCTAAATGTGAGGTCTCTGGATCTGGAGCAGAGGATGAGGTAGTCATACTTCTCAGTACACAGTTCTTCATTATAGGCCCATGAACTCATATGTTTATCCTACCCTTTTCCCCAGCCCCATATGCCCACCCTCAAACACCTGCTCTGTTGTGTCCTATGTGTATTTCCCCCATGTATATTTTTATTGTGATAAAATAGGTATCACATAAAATTTACCATTTGAACAATTTTTAAGTGTACAATTAGTTCGATGGCATTAAGTACATTTACCCGGTTGTACAGCCCTCCCACCATCCATCTGCAGAACTTTTTTCACCTTCTCTACCTGAAACTCTATTAACTACTAGCTCCCCATTCTTCCCTCCCCCGGCTACCAGTCTACTTTCTGTCTTTAAGAATTTGACTATCTTAGGGCGCCTCCCTGGTGGCACAAGGGGTTAAGTCTCAGCACTATGAAGCCTCTTCAGTCACTGCAGCATGAGTTTGATCCCCAGCCAGGGAGCTGACCCACATGGCGCAGCAGACCTCTCCTCTCTCTCCCGCTGCTCCCCTCAGCAAAGTATTTCAGTCAATCCACCTGTTCTGCTCCCCGCTCTGTCTCTGGTGAATCCTCTCAACCCCCACCCTCCCACCTCTGCCCTACACCCAATTCTTGGATGCATAAATAAATAAATAAATAAACCTTTTAAAAAAAGAATTTGACTATTTTAGGCATATCATAGAGTGGAGCCGATTAGTATTTCTTCTTTGTGACTGACTTACTTTACTTAGTGTAGTGTCTTCAAGCCTCATTCTTGTTGTAGCTGATCAGAATTCATTCTTTTTATTTTTTATTTTCTCACATTGTTCATTTTTATACAGTATTTGAGTTTCTTCCTCCCAGTGTAGTCCCGATAGTTCTCCCACCACCACATACCCGTACTCCATCACCACAGTCCCTTGTGCTCTTCCCTCCTGTTTTGGCTCCTCTCCCTTCCCCTCCCCTGCTGTATAGCTCCTTTTTAAGGCTGAGTGATAGTCTTGTTTCTATAAACCACATTTAAAAAATCCATTCATCTATCAATAGACATTAGAATTGCTTCTACCTTTTGCCTATCTGGAATAATGCTGCACTAAACATGGGTGTGCAAATATTTGTTCAAGTCCTGTTGTCGCTTCTTTTGTGTATATACCCAGAAGTGGAATTTTTTTTTTTTTTTTATCAAGTCGTAGTTCTGTGTTTCATTTTTCAAGGAACTACCATACGGTTGTCCACAGTGGCTGTACTATTTTACATTCTCACCAGGAATGCACAGGGTTCCAATTTCTCTACATACTCTCCAACACTTGCAGTGTTCTGTATTTTGGATAATAGCCATCCTCATGGGTGTAAAGTGGTTCAATATGCATCTCTTTGTTCGCATGACTGCTTTCCACATGGATACAGTTATTTTATGTATATGTAATTTTTTTTACACAAATAGCATTATGTTACTTATTTCATTCTGTATGTTACCATTTTCACTTGGACTCTTTAAGATCATCCATTTGTGTTCTGCACACAGAATCCCCCACTTCTAACCTTTGCATGGTAGTCTATGGGGAACATATCTGTGTATATGGAGACCCTACTGTGTGCTTGTGCTATGCTCTCTGTGTGGCTTATTGATCCCTACAGTAATCCTAAGAGGTAGGCGTTATTATTAGTCCCATCATATAAATGAGGAAACTGATACAGAGAGTTAAGTAATTTGCCCAAAGTCACACAACCAGAAATTTAACCTGCTTGCTGTATCTGGTGCCATGGGGGAACTCACATGTTAGAGGGCGTCACACGACCCGAGAGACAGAGCCTCTTTTTAGGTGAGTTCTAGTCCTGCCTTGTCTCCATTGCAGGTCACCTCCCTTCACCCACGTCACTTCCTGTCTGTGTAAAAATGAAGACAGAACAACTTTGATGCCTTTTCTAAATCCACCACTTGTTGATTAAATACCCTTTAGCGCATGGAAAAATAATCAGACTTGAAGTCAGGTGTTTATTTCTTTCCAGTATTCCACCTGGGAGCTGCTCCAAATACATGGAAATGCAAAGGGCCTCCCTGACAGGACTAACTATTCCCAGGGAAACACAGTGGCTGCCTCTGGCCCCCGCCTGTCTCCTGAACTTTGTACTTACTGTGATGAAAAATTAACTGGGCTAATGTTTCCTTCCAAGGACAGCCTCTGTACAAACAGGCTGGCTGGGCCCCAGGAGGTGAGACCCCAGAACAGAGTTCTTAGCCATCTGGAGCACCTGCCCATTCACCTCCCAGAGTGAAGGGAGCACTCCAGGACCTCTCAGCAAGCCGTCCCACACCCCTCCTCACTCCTTTGTGGAACTGGGCCTATTTCCTCCACTCTTGTCATGGAGAAACTAAGGCCAAAGGAGAAAGAACTAGCCCAGATATGGCCACTGCTGGACTCACACATGTGCCTGGCACTGTCCTTGTGCAGGCCCAGCTGTTCTATCACGGGGCTGTCGGCAGTGAAGGAAGCCCGGGACAGCATGGCTCAGCTGTGCTGACTGACTGGGAAACGAGAAGGTTGAACGAGGACCCCTTCCAAAGCCAGGAGTTTAGAGCCCCCCCCCAAGTCTAATCCTTACATCCCTTACATTATAGTGCAAATCCCCTCCCTACACCAAACATCGCTTTCTGTCTGTGTAAAATGAAGGGCCTGTATTGCAGGAGAGTAACCACTCCCTGTAAGAACTGTCTGCCATTCTTACAACTGAGAGAACAGGTGCTCAGTGAGGTAAAGGGAGAGCGAGAGCCAGGGGTGAGAGCCTATCAGTCACTGATGGAGCTTGAGGTCCTTTTAGCATATCTAGCTGCCTCTCGACAGTTGGACCTGCTTGATTTGATGTCTAGGTTAAAATGAAGGAGATAAGGACTTCAGGGCCCTTTCTCCCAGGCACCTACCTCCCACCCCTTGGCTAGTCTCTAGGCTGTGAACTCTTTGAGGTCAGGGACTTTCATCTCTTATTTCGTCACCCCCAAAACCAAGTAGGGGACTGCAACACAGAGGCGCTCCACCGTGTGTCTCACCTGAACTGGGTTCCTTCAGCCCCACCACTCTCTGGGGCGCTGGCAAGGCCTGAGGTAGGTTCTGCTCCTTTCCCTTGACAGTACCTGCCTGCCGGCAAAGCCTTTCACATTAGAGTCACACAACCACCCTAGGAGGTTGAGAGGAAAGCTGTTTCCAGCCCCGTTTTACAGGTAAGCAAACATTTCTTGTAGTGCCCAACAGTGTACCCATGTAAGGAACTTTTGTTTTGTCGAGAGCCCCATCATGATTCATCCCTGCCTTCCACAGCTGCAGCTGGGTGTAGTGGCAAGAATGCGGGCTCAGTACTTGCTTCAGACCCCAGTTCTGCTGCTCTTCTGTAAGTGGAAGACGAAGGGACATCTACCTCAAGGGCGCTGTGAAGACTAAACCAGAGGCAGCACTTAGGTGACCTGGAATGAAGAAAGCAATCAGTAACCGGTGGGTGTGTGTTTTGATGGTGACTAGGAAGAAAGGAGAGAAACCTAAAGACTACAGTGGCTGGAGGACCAGCCAGGAACTTGAAATCCCAGTTAGGGTTCAGGGCTTCTCCTTTAAGGTCCAAATAGGGCAGTTCGGAGAGGAGGGAAAGAGTCCAGCAGCAGCTGACAGGCCTGTTGGAGGCCATTCTCTCCTATTAGGCAGGGACCCCTGCAGCTTCTGGGCTGATTTTGTGAATTCCACCACACCTCACAGGGCTCTGTAACTCCCCACCCTGGAGGGTTTGCAGATAACTTCTTTCTCACCATGGGGGGAGGGGGGGTTCCTGCTGTTAAAAACAAACAAAGGCCTTAGACACCAGGCTAGAGGCCTGGAAGGGGAGGCAGCAGCAGAGCGCCCGGGTAAGTCCTGAAAGCAGCTGAGAGGACTTGTGAGCGGGTGCCCCAGATCTGCTGCTGGGGAGAAAAGCCCCAGAGCTCCCCAATATCCCAGTGTTTCTTTGCTTCCCACCAAGGCTTACTGAATACATAAACCTCCAGCATATTCCCGTTTGTCCCACTTTTTGCTAGTGCACAGTTTTGGAAACAAAGTTCTCTCTCCTATTTACTGAGTATGGGATTTCGGGTCTTTCTGTGTTATAAGATCCCACAACACACTGCAATGAATCATCCCCCTCATTCATTCCTTCATGAACTGGACAGATGTCCTTGAGTCCCTGCACTTAGTTCACAAGGCCCGAGCGTGTCTGGCTTCAGCCCCGGGAGTCACTGGGGTCCCCAAATCTCCGCTTCAGAGAGCCCGCTTCTCCCGCCTCCTATTTCCCTCCGCACATAGCTTCAGGGCTCTCAGCCGGGGTGACCTCACGGTTGAGAGAATAAAAGCAGTTCCCCGAGCGCCGGCGCGGATCGAGGCCCCTGACCGGGATCCGGGGGCGCATTCAAGTGTGGCCCGGACTTCCTGGGCGCCAGCCTTCCGTGCGCCCTCTCTCGGACCGGGGTTCTTCTAGGGGTGCACCGCCAGCTTTCGTCCTGACGGCGCCCCCTCACCGCGAGCCTGACTCTCTCCAGGCCGCAGCTCCAACTCGGCGGCCCGAGTGTGGGTTCCGGGAGCTACGCCCCGGCCCGAGCCCAGCCCAGCCCTCCCGCTCGGGCCCCTCTCGCGGCTCCTTTCCCACGACTTCCTCCCGGCGCCCGCCGGCTTCAGGCCGGGGCCGCGCGGGGTCCTGCGCGCTCCGCCGGGGCCGCCGCGGGGCCGGGCGCCCACGTGGGCGCGCGCCGAGCCGGGCGGGGGGAGGCCGGGCGCCCTCCCGGAGGCGGGGGGCGGGCAGGGCGCCCGCGGGAGGCGGCGGCGGGGCGCGGGGGAGGAGGCGGGGAGCCCCGGCGGCCGGGGGGCGGTGACAGCGCTTGGAAAGGAGGCTGCACGCGGATTTGCATGAAACGCAGACGAGGAGCGGGCGGGAGCGCGGCGCACGCCCCGGGCCGGCCGAGGGAGCGGGCGAGCGCGCCGGGGAGGAGGAGGAGGGACGCGGGGAGGCGAGGCCGCCGAGGCGGAGGGATCTGCGCTTCAAAGCGAGCGAGCGAGCAAAGTTTGGCTGGGGGCTGGCCTTTCCTTCCTGGAGGCGGCACCCAAACAGAGCAGCTACCCGGTGCGGAAACCCAAACTTTCTTCTGCCACTCCGAGTCTCGCGGCCAGCGCCTCCGCCCCGCGGTCCGGGCCTGCCCGAGCCGCGCCGCTCCGGCCCGTCTGCGCGCCCGCCCGCCCGCGCCCGCCCGCGCGCCCCGCTGCCCTTCTCCGCGCCGTGGGCGCCGCTGGGGCGCAGGGCCGCGCGCCGCGGCCCGGCCCGGAGCACCGGCAAGTTCGCTGAGAGTTGGGCGAAGTTTGGGCGGCCCGGCCAGCCCCGGCCGAGCGCCCTTCTGCGCCCCCGGCGTTCCTCCGAGCCCAGCCCCGCCGGGGGCGCCCCTCGCCGCGCGCGCGCCGGCCCCAGCCATGTCGTCCATCCTGCCCTTCACTCCCCCGATCGTGAAGCGCCTGCTGGGCTGGAAGAAGGGCGAGCAGAACGGGCAGGAGGAGAAGTGGTGCGAGAAGGCGGTCAAGAGTTTGGTCAAGAAGCTCAAGAAGACGGGGCAGCTGGACGAGCTGGAGAAGGCCATCACCACGCAGAACGTCAACACCAAGTGCATCACCATCCCCAGGTGGGGGCCGGAGCCGGGGCGGGGGCTCCTGCCCAGGCCCGGAGACCACGCGACGGGAGCGGGAGGCGGAGGGGTGTGTGTGTGTGTGTGTGTGTGTGTGTGTGTGTGTGTGTCTGAGAAGTGGGAGCACGGGCAGGAAGGGGGTGGGGGGACCCCAAATAAAACCTCTGGGTTTGCAAAGATTCAGAGCCTGAGGCTTCCACGCGGCTCTCTTGCCGCCGGACCTCACGCTCGCTTTTCATGCCCCAGAAGTGGGGGTGCTGCTGGAGCTGACCGCCTCCCCACCCCCGGCTGCTGCGGGCTAGAAGTTGAGGCCCGCTTTGTTCGCTCCGCGGGCTGGAGCCCCTCCTCCGCCGCCGGCTCCCGCCCCCGCGGCCCGCGCTCGTGGAGGTGGTGGTGTCTTTCCCTTTCTTTGCTTCAGTCCTGTCCCCCCACTTCTTCCCTCCTCGACAGGAATGCAGTCCGTACAGCTGGGGCTGTGGGTGAGGAGCGGGAGCCTCGTGATTGACAGATTCCTTCTTCTTCGTTCTCTCTTTGCCTTGGGGATTAGCATTTTTATCGAGTATTTTTAGACTCGGTTGTGCCAGCCTCCCGCCCCCTCCGCACACACGCACTTTAGTTGCAGTGCAACGCTCTGACTTTCAAATGAGACAAGTGGCAGAGAGCAGGGTCTTCTGCTTTTTTTTTGTTTGTTTTTGGTGTTTTGTTTTTTGTGGTTTTTTTTTTTTTTTTTTTTTTTGGCCATCCTTTCAGTCAGATTTCAGGTTGATGCAGAATAGTGAAGGTTTAGAACCCATCAGATCACAAACGCACCCCAGTGTGGGCCTCGCATCGGCGCTTGCATTCCTGCAGAGCCCTCCTTCCAAAGCGCTTTGCCATCTGTCTGGACCTCCTTTATGCTCCACATCGCTTAGCTAGGTCAGGCAGGAGCTCACAGATGGCTGATAGAAGGGGTCAGTGACTTCTCTCCACTCCCCAGGGCCTTCGCTTAATTTAATGGCGTCTGGTTGGGAATTGGGGTATGGGGGGCACACCTTGACCTCCCTCCTGTACCTCCTTCTCAGCCCCATTTAAAGTCTGATTCTGCACCAAGAGAGTGTGTGCGTGTGTGTGTGTGTGCGCGCCTGTGTGCACATGTGCTTGTGTGTGTATATGATGGGGGAACAGTCTTGGGCCTGAGGCTGCAGAGGAATGAGTAGAGGGTTCCCCTACAACAGAGGTTCCCCAAGGCCTGGATGGAGTGAACTTCATCCTTGGCCACCTGCTCAGGGCAGCTGTACAGGGCTGCCAGCCGTGTCAGGCAGGCACAAAGCAACATCTGTCCACGGGAATCAGGGCAGGCCTCCTCTGGAAATAAATGCCACATATGGTGGGAGCACTGACTTGAAAAATAATAATTTTTTTAAAATGGGTGGATCCAGTCAATAAAAGGGAGGGAAGGCGTTGTGCTGTCTGGGAAGCGTGCTCTGGGCATGTGATCGGGAGCCAGAATTGACTTCAGAGGAGGTGGTGTGATGTGATAGTCACTTACCCTGGGTACTGGTCCCAGCTGAGGTTCTTAATTTTTCCTTATTCCTTTGAGGGGTGGTGGTGAAAGGGGTGAATGAGTGGTGTACTTCTGCCCAGGGATGGGTTTATAAAACTTGCCTTCTAACCTGCCTGGTTCATCAAGCCTTTGTGCCTTGAAAGGGGGTGGAGGGGATACCAGCTATAAAACAGGCAGCTGTATAAATGGTTTTAGCTTTCAAACCACTTTCACATGGTTTTATGAGATCAAGAAAGAAATTCATGTAAAATAGATAAGGTAGTTAGGCTTACGACATCTCATTTTTCAAGGTGAGAGGACTTTGGAGGAGAGGGGAAAAGGCTTGACAGAGTAGACATGGAATTCTGACCAAATAAGCTCCTTCTGTCCCAGGCTGCTCTTCACTTTGAAAGTTCTTTGCTGACTGAAAAAGTGCTGTTAGTTGAGGGTGAGTTGGGGTGGGGAGGAGTAGGCAATATGGACCTTGTGCTGGCTGTTGCTAATGTCCAATCTTTGGGCTGGTGAAAGAGAGGCCTTGCTTCCCTGGCCTTGGTAGAAGCTTGTCCTCTGGAGAGTGTAGCTACAGCCTGCCTTTCTTCTTTTCATATCTTCCGCAATCTGAGGCACATGGACTCTCTGGAATCTTCTGAGATGTCAAGTTCTCTTGTCCCCTGGCCTTCTCTTGACTCTGTTGGGATTGGAGCATCATCTACCTGTCTGGCAAGGACCTAATGCCAAGCAGATTATTTTTTCATCTTTAGGAAACCCACTTGCTTGGGTGGATCCGGACCACAAAATAGATTTCCATTCCTAGATTTTGTGCCCACGCCTCTGGGTCTCCTTGTCTCCTTCGGTAACAGCTACTGCTGTGTTGGTTATGGGCAGAAAACTAAAGGCCAGGTCTTGGGGAGGTGGGGAGGTGGCCTTACACTAGGGATAGCAACTTGACCATCAAGCCCCTAGATTGTGGTGTTGCTTGTCAAATTTCTCTCTCTACTCTGCCTTTTATAACTAGGGAAATGTTGAACCTAGTTTCATATTGTGTGTGCAGGGTGGGGTCCTGGGCACTTAATGGTTCTCGGTGAGATCTGGACCCTGGAATTTGAGGAGCCCTCAGTCTAAGGAGGTTTTGACAAGCATGTCTTGGCTGATATGTTATCATGAACAGTACCAGCAACTCTTGGCAATAATAGCTGTATGCCAGGGCCTTCCAGACCTCATGCCTGCTTCTCGGTTTCACCAGCTCTGACCCGTCTCAATGATCAGGAGTGATACAGGCTCACTGATATCAAGAATGTAAGAGAGACTGGTGCCAAGGAAGTGGTAAGAGCCTGATTTAGATACACCGACAGGCAAGCTATCAGGGTACTCTGAGGTCTGGCACGGTGGGCAGTTTAGACAGGTTGTATAACAGCAGCTCACTCTTCACCTACTTGAGACCTGAGTAGAGCTGCAGGTATCTTTCTGGCCGGTTTATAAGAACGGAATCATAGCACTGGCCACCAAGAGTCGGAGAGGTGTGTGTTTATGTCACTAATAAGACACAGGCGTGCCTAGAAATGACTGTTCACATTGCCACCGAGCACTTGGGCTTCCACAGGTGGGACTGGTGTCTTGGTCCAGGTTCCTGGGAACTGGATCCAGCTTGAGGCCTAGTTTGTTTGGAAGGGGGTCTGGGCTTGCTTGTGTCACTGAACCAAATCCAGAGGAAAATGGGAGTTGAAGGAAACGCCAGGTCTGACCCACACCGTCTCCTTCCTCTCTGTGCATCTGTTCTTACCCCATGGCCTCCTGTTATCTGCCTGGACTTTGCCAGCCCACTCTCACCCGAGGGAGAAAGGAAAAAGATCCTCATCTTGGACAGTCCTTTCACAGACTTCTGGGGACAGAGATGTTACCTGGCTGCAGGAATGGCCTCTTTTATACCCTCTGCAGCTCCACACGCCTGTCCTCCCTCTTCTCCCAGAGGCTGCTCAGCACACCTTTTTTTTGTGACTCCTTGGAAGCAAGCTTACTTCCAGCTGCCAGGAAGGAAACCCACCCTCCCCTCTCTCTCATTGACCTTGATGAGGGGAGCACCATGGAGGGGCTGGGAAGAAGAGGGGTCCCCATTGGACAGCAGGGAGTTGACTGGGTGCTTGACTTGAGTTGTGGCCGAACCTGGGAGCCACTTGATGTCCCCTTGTTTGGTACCTTGGAAATTGCCGCTTGTACCCAGGAATTGAATGTTGGGGGTCAATGTACCTTGCAGACAACCCCTGTTCCCAGTCCCTTATCGGTATCACAGGGTTCTGTTTGTTTGACTCACTGATGTTTATTGGTACCCTCCCATGTGAGTCAGTGTTCCAGGCAATGGGGAAGAATGCAGAGATCAGTTTGAGATGGTTCCTGCCTGTAAGGAGCTTACGCTTGAATACGGGTAACATTAACCGGGCAATATTCGAGGGTCTAACTGATGTTGGTTTCTTATTCCTATCTGTAAGAAGACTTGAGATATCATATGGGGTGATTTTTGTGTGTGTGTGTGTGGGGCTAGACTTGTCATTTAAATATTGTAGAAGTCACTATGTTAGAAAACAGAAGAATGACAGCTGTCTGGTTTTCTCCAGAAAAAGCACAGCATTCGGGTTGTACATCTTGCCATTTTCCTCCTGGATGTGTGTCTAGAAGTCTTCATGTCTGCACCTGTAAAATCAGGACAAAATAAGACCTGGGGAGGGGTTTTGAAACCAGAGTTTGACAGATGTTAAAGGCTGTGTAGCCCTCTGTCTGTATTGTTCATTTATTATTGATTTATGTAGTCACTTAATAATTATCTCTGAGGTGAGCTAGCCAGGCACTGGTTCTCAAGGAGCGCTCTGTCTAGAGTGGGAGACAGACTTGCGCAAAGTCACAGGGCATGAAATCAGGACTTACGAAGTGCCCAAGGACATGGGGGAGCAGACCATTACATGGGAGGAGGTGGGTAGTGGAGGACAGGGACCAGTGTGAGGTGGAAAACCAAGGTGGGTGAGCAGTCTTCATTTGAAGGAAGTTTTTGAGCCTGGTGTAAGATCATGTGAACTTTGTTTTTTAGCTGAAGTATCATCGTTTCACATTCTTGTCAGGGTTTTGACAGTGTAGGAGTCCCCCCTCAGGTGTAGTCCCTGGAACTCTCCTACCTCCTAAGCACCCAGAATCCTCCACAGTAGCCACTGTGCTCTTCCTGCCCCCTTACCCTTCCTTCCTCCCACCCCATGGCCAGCTTTCATGGGATGATCATTGGTACAAAAGTGAGGACGTCTTTATCTTTTACCTTCTACTAAGCTGAGTGCGGCAATGAACGTGTTATTTTATAGCTTGCTGCAAAGGGCTTGTGAACCTGTGTGCCTTATTTTACTCCACTGTAAAATGTTCTCTTTGAAGTAAAAAGGAACTTAGGATTGCAAACCTGAAATTCAGGTTTCATTGGTGGGAACAAGGACTTTAGATATAT